CATTTTTGAGTTCCAATAATACTGCCATTAGTTCTCATATCGCCGTGCAACTCCAACGGCGAGTGACAAAGCTTGATGTATGTCTGTGCAGGCTTAAGTTGTCGTCGAGCCCCTTCCATCAAAATAGCCTCCTTCAGCCACCCCATAAGGCGTTTTCCGTCGCCAAGACACTCGGATTGGCCAGCTTCCATTACACCCACGCTCGGGCCAAATGCGTTGTCACCGGCCTCCAATTGCCCACTTAATGGATCGCAAGCGCAGTTAATAACTCTCCCGGCGAGAAGGCAATAAAAGTGTGCCAAGTTGGTAACTCGGAATCGGATTCTCGACTCGAACACGGGGGCAATTAAAAACTCAACCGCAAAACCGTTGCTAATGACAGCCGGACAGCAGGATGGCCCAGGATCCTGTCCGCTCCGAAGCTGACCACGTGTGACAAATTGACGCTTTTTAATTTCGCCTGCACCCACAGCCTCGCCACTTAAAACGAAAAGTGCCACACGGATCAGAGCTGCGAATTGCGAATTGCGAGTCGAGAGCAGCTTGTTGCAAGCCAGAGCCCAGAGCCCCAAGTTTTTAGCTGATTGATGACATCGTTGCGGTTGTTCTCGTTGCTCCGTGTGCTGCTGATGCCTTTAAAAAGGTGTTTTCATTTTGCATGCGAAAACATCGACCTGATTAATTGCCTCGCACAATCGAGAGGGGTAAGAGAATTCAACCTGGACGGTGACTCCACACTGTAAAACGACTTTTAGCCATTTGAAACTGAGCAAATAATATTATTTGTATGCAAATATAGTTTAAATATTTTTTATATATTTATTTATTTGCTTATTGATCGTTTTCTGATTCATCTGTTTATTTTTATAGTACTATTCAATAAGGGTTCTAATTTGAATATTAACAAAATAATTTTAACAATTAAACACTGATTGATTTTTCGCTATTATTTATATTGGTCAAAGTAAAATAAACAAATGCGAAATTTTATAAAATATTGAGTTTTCAGAGAATCGGAAATTTATCTACCAACCAGAAGTCTTGGTAGATATGGATAGTTGGTTAGTTGAAATGACTTATTTTCTTTCTGTGCAGTTCATTTAACAAATGATGTGCATGTCTGGTGTGGCGATAAGTAGCCAGCGAAATGCAGTCGGGGCTCATAATAGAGTTGAAGTTGGAACGCTGGGACGGCGAGGCAACCAAATCAAAATGTTAATGACACTCTCAATACAGTTATCACCGCAAGGCTCGAGGAGCACGAGGAGGAGGAGGCGATCGGGCGGAGAGCGGGCCACTTGACCGAGCCTTTTAACATTTTTGCCATACCCATCCGCTTCGGCGCTGTTAAGTTGTCATTTCCATTATGACCATGTCGCTTTAGCATTTAACAAATAGTTGAGACATTTACAAGCGGCGATAAGCGGCCAACGGATCGTATACGTATTCGTATGCGTATTCGTATTCGTATCGCTCCACTCCCGGCCACTCGAAATGCTCGGCGATTTGCGTTAATGTATTTATGCCCGAGAGCTAATTGATGTCGCCTTTATATGGCGAGGCAACGGAGTTTAGTATTCATTTGGCCAGCGTCTGCACACCTGTCGGGCATTAATCAAAGACAGCGGCCATAAAGCCTCATAAATATATGTTACAGCCAGTCGTGGCCCACACAAAGTCCAGTCCATAATTGCCCGGCGCTTTTGACAAGCTAACACGATAATATGACAAGACCAGTCAACGGCGCATCAAAAACTTATCGGGGTTCAGCGAAGGCACAAAGAACTCCGGACCGGATGTGGATGATGCGCTTGGTCGACTAGGGCCACGATTACCTCGGAGCCCTCGGACCTCAGTCCTCAGTCTTCTGCTTCGGTCTTTGAGCCAGTGTGTTGACAAGCGACCAAGCTCCGTGAATGAAAGCCAAGAAAAATTGTAAAACGATAAAGCCAGGCAACAAACGGCCGTGAGTCAAACAATGAAAGCTATCGAGAACATAAATATGCATATCGAAAATGGCTTAGACAATATCAATTTGTCAGGAGATATGATACTATTGAGTTCGGGGAAGGGGAGGCCAGCAGACCTCGTTGGTGGGCGTTTCCATTGTGTTACCAAAAGGCCAGCAGAGCAATTTGAAATCGATTTGTCATTGGGAAGGAAGTGAGCCAACTCAACCTTATGGCCTGCACAGAAAAAATTAGTTTTTCTTTTTTTCCATTACTCCTTGAGCTCGAAATTTACAAGTCCAGTTTAAGATATTCTTCTCTAATATTTTTAAACTACATTTTCGAATGAAGTTCCCCAACAATTATTTATAAATTCTGTTTTAAAGTTTGAACAATAAATGCCAAGCCTGTTTTTATTTTTCTGAGTGCCAGCCATTCGTCTGCTCTTCATTATAAATCATTTGCAGTGATCATTCCGTGAACCGACTTAGACCTTTTGAGGCAATGCCAATGGCAATCAGCGAAAACACTTCCGATGAGATCGTCTTCGATCGCAGACCATTTACTGCAGTTCCTCAGAGAGAGTCTTCAGTCGGACACGTTGCATCAGCACGTCCGGCGTACACCTTTGCGTAATTCCCACAAAACGTTTTGTTTGAAATTGAAATTGGCTTTGTTTCGCAAGACATTTTAACCGCAAATCGAGTAAAACGATAGCCCGGCCCTCTGGGGGCCGACCGTTTATGAAGCCCAAGTCCAAAGAGAAACTCTGAGAACGGATTTGAGCGCGATTTAGCATACCCTACAAAAAGAACGAACTGCAAAATTGGACACGGCGCATCAGGCAGGCACGTTTCGTATTAAGAAAATCGCTGGGGCCGTAAAGACTCCGGGGATCGAGTTATATCCAGGTTGAACCTGCAATTGGCTCGGACTCGGCCATGCCATGATGGCTATGAAATGGCCAAGATGTGGTCGTACAATCGCATTCACAGCGAATCAATTTCGAATAGCCAGCCATCCATCGTTTTGATCATCAACAAGTCAACGTCATCATCATCGGGCCAGGGAATTGCTGATTGCCGCAAAATCATTTTTGCATTTCGCCCGGCAACAAAAACTCTTTGAGCTGATGTTGATGAAAACGATTTTAAATTATTTTATTGCAATTGCAAAATTGTATTGCCCGACTGGTTCGCTTTCAGCTCTGCCCCTGCCTCCATGGCAGACTGCGTTCGGCTCACGGCTTATGGCCATGCCGCATGGCTATATGGCTATATCAATTTTTTGCGCTTTTTCTGTTTTATTGCTACTCCATTAAAATTGAATTGGCTTTTGTTGTTGCTGTCGCTTGCCGTTTCTGGTGCTTTTGCAGCAGCTATTGCCGTGGATGGAGCCTGTTATTGCTGAAAATATAATAACGCTGAAACGATTGTGCGATTGTTGTTAAATTAAAAATTATTGATTACGCCGCAAACAACAAGAAAAAAACGTTGGTAAAAAACTATCATATTAGCGAACATTTTAAATATTTATTGTGAACATCTTTAAGTAGGTTGTATGAATGCATATCTTTTAATTGGATGATAAAGAAGGTCTTTGAAATAAACGTTTTTTTTAGATTATATGGCTTTGTTAATAAACGCATATTATAAAAATTTAAAATAATTTCTATATTGCTCTTCAAGTTAGATATAGGCATTGTGTTTTTTTTTTTTAACTAATGCCCATAAAAATATATTGGGCTTATGTACTCTTTCAGTCATCAATAATGTTTGACAAAATACCTAAAGTCTAAACAATGACTATTTTTCTATTCATTTTGGATATTTACGACTACTGCTTATATGACTGCTATATGATATAGTCGTCCGATAACTAGTATTTTCTTGTTTTGAATCCCTTTTTTAGTTCATGGCTGTGGCGAAGAAGAGGCAGAAGACCTGCCGGGAACTGGTCTCCCGACTCATCCGGGAAATCCACATTTCATCAGCCTAGGCAGTGAACGGGATTCTACATTAAACAATAGTTAATTGACTAGACTCGCATCTCAGACTCACAAGACATGGATGGTCCCAAAATGTAAAGTATAATCACAGGGAATAGTTTTATGTATTATGGTACAGTCGACTCTCGTTAATTCAAACCTGCGATAATTCGAACCTCTCTATAATTCAAAGTTATCACGAGGTCCCTACGAAATCTCTTTATAAGTACTTCAAAGTACACGGTTTGGCTGAATAGGTTGGGCTTTCGGCAAACCCTTTTTTTCGAAAATTTGGAAAGGGGTTGTACACTAAAAATTTAAAAAGAATTAAAAATAATCGAAGCTATGACGATTTTTTAATTAATTTTCCATATTTCGACGATTGCTAACATGACAGCTATGTATAGTGATATATATCTATTTTTCGATATTTTCTATGGCAGCTATATATGTACATAAAATAGAAATCCGATTTTGATAAAATTTAATTTGATATTCAATAGAAGTTAAAAACCCAATCTATTTTGAGCTGAGAAAATTCTTTGAGAAAATCGTTGCGAATCATTTCCTTTCTAAAAATTCATTTCCTTTCTAATATGCCACTAAAAAGCAAAATGTTTGTTGTGGTAACCTAATTATCACAAACGAGCTTAAACCTAAAATGCTAAAAGCCACAAAGGTCACAGATTCAATCGAACACAATTATGTGTTTTAAATGGGGTATGCCACTTAAACATTTTTCACTTCCGGTTTGAACAGTTAAGTACCGCTATCGCCACTAGGTGCCGCCTTGAAAATGTTTCAGGAAAGCACCGCCATGTGGCGCTCGAAAATATTGATGGGTGCAAGTGTTATAGGCACTCTACCGGAATGAAACTGAACATGATATAATCGAATTTTCGCCTTAGGGAGTGCACCATCGGAGACACCACCCTTATACAGCCTGATCTATTCAGTAAACAAACCAAGTTATTTTTGTTTAATAAACTGTTAAATAATTTAAACAGATAAATGAATATTTAATATATTTCTTTTTTGAACACAACTCTCTACTTTTGTATAAAGAAACTTTCAGATTTGCTGTACAATTATTTTGACATACAATATTATCCCTATTTAATTAAGTTACATTTTAAATACCAACAAAAGTAAAATCTATAACGCTCTATGCGCTTAATCACAAATGTTGTAAAACAATGGCATTTAGAAGTGGCTTGGTTTTCACTTAACAAAAACCACATCATCTTCATCACTGGAAGAGCTAATGGTCTGCAGTCGCCGTCGTCTGTTGGCAGGAGCTGCAGGCTGTTTTCCCAGTCGACGCTGCTTCCGCCGCTCTTTCAGGATGCGTTCAGCCTTCTCAAGAGGACACTCGGAAACGTCTCTGCTCTTTTCGGCGGCTAAGCTCTCGTCTCCAACGATAAACGAACATTGCAGGTACTGGGAGGAGTCGTCCTCCACTTGCTGGGAGAAAATGTGGGATTCGTCGCGATAAACTCTTGGTGGCGGCATCTTGAAGGCACCTGGTCGTTGAACTGGGCTCCTGAAAACAAGATATTATTACCTAACAAACGAATATGATTAACAAATACTTACTTCATAGCTCTCAGGTAAATGGCATGGGTGTTTGTGTCGTTATGGTGGTCGTCGTCATCGCTTGACACTATCACAGAGTCCTTAAGATATGTTCCAATTGTAGTCTCCGCCTCCTCCTCGTGGTCTGATCCGCTCTTATCCGCCTCGTCCAGAATAAACGAATTGAACTTTTTGCGCTTTCTACTAGGTCGTGGCGGAGGCGAGGGAGTTTCAAGCTGATACGTAATAATTTATATAAGCTAGTTAATAAGCTGTAATTTGATTGGAACTATATTTTGATAAGTACCATTTGCGTGCCGGGAATCGTCTCGTTGTCATCTGACTCGCAGAACGCTTGGGTTTCCGCAACCTGCGGCTTTTGTTCCTCCTCTTCATCGGAGCTAATGACAATCTTGCGCTTCGATGGACGCCGTGCAATGGGAGAGTCCTCCTCATCTCTGGCCGAAGCCCTGGAAGTATTTGAAGTCATTTGATGAAGGCTTTGCGCAGCTTTTGCCATACGCCCTTGCCCTCGCATGCGGTTTAAGTACAGATCAAAGATGCTTGGGGATTTATCCTGGATCAAAGGATTCGTGCGCTTGCGGCTTTCTGGCGAATTAAGAATCACTGAATTCGGAGAAGGGCGAGGCACTGTGGCTGTTTTGGCAGCCAACTTGGCGGCTAGACTTTTGCCTTGTGGCTTCCAGGGCGACAAGGACTCGGAGCCAAAAATATCTGGCGAAACGGTACGCGAATCGCTCTCAGGTTGGACCACGAAAAGTAGGTTTTCTTTTGATTTTATATTTGGAGACTGCATTTCCGTTCTCTGCTGGCACATAAGCTCCACTTCCGGTGCCATGGAATGGGTCTTCTTCTGCTGGCTAAGTAATTCCACTTCCTCGGCCATTGGTTCTAGGAAATCATTAAAGACGTCGAGTTCTAAATCAAGATCATCTTTCTGAGGGCTTTTTGGCAATGCTTTCTCAGGTTCGGGATCAACGAATTCATTAGGATCGTTGTTATTTTTCTGAGTGGTAAGAACCAATTCCTCGTCCATGGGCTCAAGAAAATCATCCAAGTCGATATCGAAATCATCCAAAGTGGATTTAGCTTGTGATGCTGTATCCGGAGTGGGTTCCCTGCCAACTTTTGTCTCGTTCAAGCTAATCGGATATATCTCACTTTCTACACCACCAGGGTTTTGATTGGGAGGAGACTTTTCTGTGGCTTCAGTTTTCAACATGGATTCACTGTTGCTTATTAAGGAGTTTAGGCGCCCCAAGTTGTCACTCAAATTACTGGCCTCCACCCGAGAGTCGCATTCCTCTTCATCCTCCTCCTGCAGCGTTTCAAATTTGAGTCTGCTTTCGTGTTTTACTCTCAGAGGGGTGGAGCTGTGCGGCACTGCATCTGCAGCTGAAAAATTCATGTGCTGACTCAAATACATGGATTCACATTTATCCTCAGCCGCACTTTCCTCGCTTTCCTGCTCTGACCAGGAGGTTTCGGTGGCACCACGCGGTGGCTCAGCTAATGTGACTTCCAGGTTTCGCAGCTCAAGCTTTTCAAGCAGACTTTTCTTGAGCTCAAAGTTGTCAGAGTTGAGGCCTTGTTCATCCAGACCCTCGAAAATCTTATCACAGGTGGCAACAAACTCTCTTTCCCTTTCCTTATCTATCGGATCCTTTAGATTCCTGAAAGTTATCTCTGCTACATTCGCCTCTTCTTGAAGCAGCTCCTCCAATTTCTCAGCTCCATCACAGATGTCCAGCAGCAGTTGATAATTGTTCCTGGTGCGCTGCTGTCGGCTGTTCAAGCGATCATCAGCGATATTCAATTCGTTTTGGACCTGCATCTTCGAATGGGTTTCCCTGACGAAGTTGGGATTACTCTGCAGCAAGTAAAGCTTCAGTGGTTTGGGCAGTTGCTCATCCTGTAGATGGGCAATAATATCTTGGGAGTCCGAAATCAGTGGTTTATTTGACTGAAGGAGGCGATTGAGTTTTTTCAGGCGTTGCACGTCTTCCTGACTGCTGGTTAAAGTTGAGCTTGCCTGGGATTCCGCAAAGAAATTCTTTAAATTTACGCTGCGGCGAAGCACTTGCTCTTTGACCTTTTGCTGGGATGCTTCGCTCATTTGGTAGGGCTGCATTCCCTGCAGGATTCCGTGCTGACTCTCCGACGGAGCGCTTTCCTTAAAGTAATTCTTTAGGTTGCCGCACTTAACGATGGGTAGTTTTCGTTTTTTGCCTTCTTTCGTTTTGGCAGTTGACTTGGGCTTGGGTTTCTCCTCTTCAGCTGGCTCCATGTGTTTCTCCTCGCATTTCGGTTGGAATTGTTGAGGAACCATTCTGGGATTCTGGTCGTAGAGCGACAACTTGACGACAGATGAGTTCATTAGCTTTCTGTTGATCTGATCCTTGTTGGCCAAGACGTCTTTCAGCACCTGCTGTTCTCGTCCCTCGGTAACCAGCATTACCACCTCTCCGTTCTTTTTCCTGCCAGTGCGCCCAATCCTCTGAACAAATCTCGTGGGATTGGAGCTGCAAATGTCGAAGCACACTATCATCTCCACTTCTCCCACGTCGAGGCCCTCCTCACCGATCGACGTGGCCACCAGTACGTTGCTGGCGCCGGATCGGAAGTCGGCCATGATTTGCAGCTGCTGTTTCTGGGTGAGAGCGTGGCTGGCTCCCCCCGTGCTGCCCTGGCCGACAAAGCAGCGTGGACGGAGCACCGGCCTGTGTTGAAGGAGTAGCCGGTGGATCAGCATCACGGACTCACGGTACTCGCAAAACACGATGGCACGGGAATCGGCATTTGACTGTAAAACATTCAAAAATCTTTAATTAGTGAGCACTAGAAACATTTATAAAAGGTTCGATTTTTTACTAAACTTGGTTTGAAGTGAATTCAAACTATAAACTTACCTCAAAGTGCTTTACTAAAACCTCTCGCAATTTTTCGTACTTGGCATGGCCAAAGTCCAGATCGGCGGGCAGTGGAGGCACTTCCCCGTTCGTCATGGCATGTGTGGTGTAGTCGAGTGGGTTAGCGCCTAGGCTCTGCCGCACCTGCTCCACCAAATCCCTGAGATCTCTATCTCTGGCCAGAACAAACTTCTCGCGACCGTCCTCGTCGGCATCGAAATTGTTGACAAACACCCGGAGTCCGTGGCGCTCCATCAGCTCCAGCGAGTGGTACAAGCTGATGCACATGGCAAAGTTGCCCATTATGGTGCTGTGATCCGGATGCCGATGGCCCTGCGCCGAGCGGTCGGTAAAGGATTTCTGCTCAAAGAGCAAACTGTTTTTGCTTATGTTCCCCTTGTTGCCTTTGAAAATCTCGGCCTCTATGAGCTGGCGCAGATATGGTTCGATGATCTGCAGCAATCTCTCCCGCGGCTCCTTGATCCTTTCCTTCAGGGATACCACAATCGTTCGAATAGTCCGCCTGTGTATGTAGGGCTGCACGTCGATCGAGGTGTCCCACCGCACCTGCAGACTGGATATGTACAGGTTGTTGCACACTGCAGCCACATCCTCCATGGTTCTTCCTGGAGTGGCAGACAGGGCGAGCATTCGGAAGTGCCGGTTTCGCGCCATCAGGCCTTCCGCCACTTGGCTGTAGGCATACCGACCTTTGGCCCGATGCGCCTCATCCACCACTATCAGCTTGATGGAACTGAAGGGAAAAGTGGACTCCCCATCCGCTTCTATCATGTCCGAGAGCACCACTTGGGGCGTGGCAAAAAACACCCGCTTGGCGGCCCAGAGCTCAGCTCTTTTGAGTCGAGGGAGTTGTCCTGAAATTGATTATATATATTAGATTATGAATATATTATTTTAATTTATGGGAATGATCTAGAATTGATCTAGCTTAAAATAATATATACCTACTTGTTGATGTCATTGAATTTATTAGGAACTCACCTGTAAGTTGTACGGTATCGGCTGAGGCAAAGGGCATTATCTTCTGGGATGCGTTGATCTGCTGGGCGACCAGAGGCCTTGTTGGTGCCATGAACACGATCTTTCCCGTGGGATACCACCTGTAGAAATTGTACATAACCACCGCCGCAATAAAGGTCTTCCCCAATCCAGTGGGCAGCACCACCAGGGTGTTTTTGAACAGCGCCGACTGGACTATGGTCTGTTGATAGGATCTCAGGGGCAGGTTGGTCGGATAGATCCAATTGTGCCCGGTGGCCGAATCGAATCCATCGCAGGCTCCATCTGATCCCTCCGGAAGTGGGTTTCCTTCTCCTCCAACGCTCTCCTAAGAATCGGGGTATATTTAAAGGCTCTTTTCTGCTGGATTTCTCGGGGTTTCACCTGCTCTTCGTGAATCGCCAAAGCCGCCATCAGGTCGTCATCATCATCCAGCCAATCGACATCCATGATAACGTTTATCTGACCTATGCCGCCTTGTCAATCACAACTGTGCTGGGTTGCTCACAAGAGAGTGAGCAACTGATCTTCTTTACCAAAGAAAGCTGATTTTTGTCAACAATAGACTACATTAGAAAAAGAACTGTGGACTGTTTTCAAAACAGTGTTTTGCGTTGTTTTGTTTTTATTTACCTTTTTCCATAGTGCCCGCCGCTTTTCAGTCTACATACACCAAATCGTCTTCATAACGCCTTACAAAATTGATCGAATATCTGATCGGTCAAGAGTTGGTCATACTTGACAGGATCAACATTTTAAGTCCCGTAAAGATAATTTTACTTTGGCTTAGAACACAGTAGAAAGAGATAATTAAAGTTTAAAAACTATTTTAAAATCATACTTAAGAAATTGCTGACCTTTAATAGGAAACAGTAAGTGATTTCAAACAAGTCGGAGAACGGGCGCCAACTTTAGACTAGATTCATTGGTAAGTAATTTATTCAGGTCTAATTACCTCCATTTTTATAAAGCCGTTGTAACAGTATGTAAAAAATAACGAAGCGGTAAACTTTTTTTGATTATTATTCATCTCTGTAAAATATTCAATTTGAAATATATGGTTTGTTTATATCGTTACTTGATCTAGAAAAAAGGTCACACTTAGTGAAGCAAATGCACAAACCATTATGCAAACATATTTCTATTCATATCGATATATCGCCTAGAACATTGTATCACAGCCCTTTATCAAGCCGTCTGGCAACTCTGCGAAGTGCGCGACATTTGAAAACTAACGAACATAAATTTACAAAAAAAAAATGAAAAGCTTATTTTGGACAGCTCGAGAACTAAAATTATTCGGGAGCAAGGGTGATCGGAAAATCATATGCTTTTGGTGCAAATTAGATCATGTAGTGATTTAAAACGGGCAAAGAAACTTATGTGGCAACACACTTTTTAGATGGCGCCACTGTTATAAGTTTAAAAAAATTTAATAAGTTTAAATTATAATAAAAGTTTGCTTCGCTAAAACGACTGTATATGCATATCATAAATGCGTATCATATATAATGATAGCCCTCTACCTAGCCCGTACGAATTTCTTAAAAAATAAGGACCACACAACTTGCCGGAAACGCTTAACGTTAAGCCCCATTAAATGTCCCCTGTTCGTAATTGGGCGAGTACTGAGTGTTTTGCGATTGCCCCTAGTACTCTTCTGATATTGCTGCCGTAGATTTTCAGATTGTCTTAAATTAGGCGCTTATGCCTGCACGCTTGCACCTGGTTTTTACCAGTCAAAGCTGTGCAATTTAAGATGGCAAGAAACATTTTGGGTAACATTTAAAAGAGACAACTAAATAATAATTATAAATAAAAAAAGAAATTAAAATGATTTTGAGCTGTAGGTATCTGTAAAAGCTGATCATACTTTTAATTAAAACTTACTCGTTATCTAAGAACAACTTCTTTAGGAAGCAATCCTGGATCTGTAGTTAGCTCACCCTTCAAGTCGAATGTATTCGACCAATCCCAATTTCCCTGCTGCTGATGGAAGAAAATGATCATTATCACTCACATACACACCAGTCAAAGTTTGATGGAAAAACGTACGTAAATAGTAGCAATCTCATTTAAAAATCTCCACCAACAGAGCCTAATGAGCATTGACCGTGAATGGGGGAAACTGGGGGAAATCCCCCACCGCACACCCACAGAAAAGCAAAAGCGCAGAGAACGCTCCGAAATGTAATTATATCGCATTATTTGTCATTCCGAGCAAATGAATTGAAACAAATTTAGTGTGACAAATGAATTGTTCACTTACATGGGCGTAAGTGTGTTCGTACGGAGGGGGTTGGGGGCAGAAGGGGAGGCGGGTTGGCGGGTTGGCCCTGGCTGTTTAATGCTGGCAGCCACTGTGATCGGGGACAAAAATACACACGGCTGCCCGAGACACACTCAATTTGCTGGCTCTCTAGTCAATTTCATTTCATTTGCATGAAGTTCTCCCTCTGTTCGTGTCTCTCTTTATATAGACAGTGTATTTGGGTGTGTGCTATCTGTGGGATATCTGTGGGCCATAGGCATTATGCCTTTTGCCTAATTCAGCTTTATGAGCCATGTCTAATTACCAAATGAATTGTGCAATTATTTATTTTTGTTTATTAATTGGCTGCCGCTCTAATGAGCCTAATGACCAGATATCTAGCGGTAGATACGAACATACGAGTATCCTATATGCAGATGTGATGAGTCAGAGATTATTGCGATTGCCTGCCCGACATGGCCAACATAAATGTCTTGACTTTTGCGGCTCTGACGCGGTTATCATACCCTTTTTGACTTATGTCTCTCCGACGACGCCAAGTCGCCAAGTTACGAGTATTTGCGGTTGGCATCATAACGAGCACTTTCCATACAAAGTTGCCCAAGCGGAAGCAGAAACCATGGAAAACAAGGCCAGAAGGGCGCAGACCCATTTATGCAAAGTGCTTTTGTTGGGGGAAGGGAAGATACGAGGGGTCTTCAATGTGGCTTAAACACTCGCCAAAAAACATTACGAGCTAATAAAAGCCTTTTTCTTAAGTGATTGAACATTTTTAGTTAACAAATTAATATTTTGTTCAACGATTCTTTATATTTAAATCATATCTTTTTACAATTGTAGAGTTTGTTTTAATGAAAATGTATGTATCCAAAATATATTAACATTACAGATACTTATTTTCTTCAGTGTCTGCTTACGATAGAATCGAAGGATGCATCTCCGGCTCGTAAATGAGCGATGCCTCTGTGGCTTGTGCAACTCATTAGCACTTATTAAAACTAAGTGCTGGGGACCTCGGGCGGAAATGGGCCTGGATTTGCGGTGCCGCTTGGCGACAGCTGCGCCAGTTGGTAATCAACTTTTCAGCAATTGTCTGCCGCAGTTCCAGTTGCAATATCAGTTGCAACTAAAATGGGGCTGCAGTGGCATTTGAACGGTTGCCGGGTCCCAGAACTCAGCAGCGCGTGTCGCCAACAGACAAACAAACAAACAAACAAATAAAAGACAAACAAAGCCAAGTGCAGTTCAAAATGGCTGCCAATTATCTGGCTGCCATATTTGTTTCCCCGGTTGTTGCCGGGCAATAAAACATTTCGTTTATTAGCCACCACCACAAGGTATTCTTAGTGGGAATTAAACTTCTGAGCAAAGTTGAGGAACAGAGGAAAAAAATTTTTATTCTGTAGAGTTTTTTGGCAATATCTCTCTATCTAAATTTTACAAAGAAAGCAAACATGATCTTTTATAGTATTTTAGGATCATAAACAAATTGTTTTATTGTTTTTACTTTGAAAATGGTTTTAAAGTATATTTTATGAATTTTGATTCAGTTATATTGATATTAACTTAGAACTGGCTGGAAAATTATCATTGCATTCGAAAGATGAAGATAAGAAATGGAACTTAGATACATATTTAGGAAATAAATTTTATATACGTTTTTTTCTGTGCAGAGACTTGCAGTTTTCATTAGTGGGAATTGCAAAAAATTTGAAGCCAAACTTTTGGTTAGCTCGTGTCTGCGAGCAGTTAGTTGAAATCGTTTGAACAGCACCTGCAGGACCAGAAAGTTCGGACTCATCAGGACACGCCCATGCAGAGCCACGAACACTTCACACTTTCACAGGCCGAAAGAAGCAAAAGGATGCGCCGCCGTGAATCAACGAAATTAAACAACAAATTGGTCAACACAATTTCATTATAAAGGCAATAGCCATCTCGGCGAGAACCCATCAACCCTTCATCAGATTACGGGGCAGCTGCAGGCGCCGCTGGGCAGTCGATGCTCGAATCGATTAACCCGACCAATCCTTTGCATACTATACGTGCCGCACCTGTTGTCATGGGTTAATCGGGCAGCGCTTCTAAGTGCTGAGTGCCATGCGATCGGACGGGATCGCCATCGCCATCGCATTGGCTTGATGGCTATCGACTCTAATGGCGTCCAGGGCTCTAAATCGCCCGACAGCCTTAATGGGCCAAGAAAGAGACAGTCCTTCGCTGTTTGCCCTGGAAACCCTGGAAATTGGACACGGCCAGCAGGATATGCTTATGCGGGGAGAGCACGCATCCCCGCTCCGGATCGCTGGATGGACGGTAGGTGTGAACTCCCGAAAACGGTGGCCGTTGCATAATTATATGCAATTTGTACCCAATGCACTTCCAGGGTTCTCTGCCGTCCTTCCTAGAAGGCCAGGCTACCGAGTTACCTGCTGGGTCCTCACCGAAGTGATCAATGAATGGAAGCCGCCTATTTGCCCATCTAATGTGCGTGGGTGTGGTTGGGCAGGCAGCTGGCCAAGAAACAGAAAAAATAGAACGGGCCAAGTCGCGCGAGTCACCAGTGCAACTGTGCCAAAAAAACTATAATGTATTTTATCAACAAAGTAAACAAATACAATCTAAGGAATATAACAATATATACGATTCTCTCATTTCTTAAGTTTAATTCATGCTGAAATAATTAGAATGAAATTTACCATCAAAAAATTACAATTAAATTAATTGTAAGATAAAATAGCTCGTTCTATACGATTATTTAAAGAAAAATGTCATGTCTCAACAGAGTTTTGGCATACTATTTTTAACTACAATTTGGCCTGTTTTAATTAATATTTCAAAATCAAAACAAACGCTACAACATTGTAGTTTTTGGATTAAAGCCAGACAAGACTTTGAAATGGATTAATTTCTTTCATACTAATTTAAATAATCTATAGGATTAATATAATATTATGTATTATTTTTGACGTGTTTATTAAGTAAAACTTTTTCATCAAATTTAACACTTTTGTTAACTATCTAATGTAAAAGCAAATTGTAAATAAAAATTGCATGAAACGATAAATTTTAAAATAATGACTTTCATTTGCTGTAGTTTTGATTTGGGTGGCTTTACATTCAGCGCGTGCTCAAGCGCCACTAACTTGACTATAACTTGCTTAATTAGCAGTCAATATCACGCACTTCATATCGTCCAATTAATTTACCATATTACTACGGCTAACTACGAGTTACAACTTGCCGTGCGGCAATTACCTGGCTCGCAACATCGTTGCTCCGGAGTTGACGGCTTCGTTTGTTGCAGCAGCGCCAAGTCAGTTGGAGCCGACATGCAAATCA